CCCCCCCCCACCCCGTGAAGGCTCAGGGTGCACTCACACTATGCCCTCACCTTGATAAAAGCAGCCCGCAGAGTCTGAGCCGCCGACAGGTTCACCCTTTCCAGCTGAAAAAAAAGCAAACAATAATTCAGCACCCACAGTACATAACCCAGAATCCTCCAGGGCTCCAAGCATCTGCCTCTCGGGGCTGCCAACCCTCATCATTATTCCAGCTCTTAAGGAACCCTAGCAGCAACACAGGCCAAGAGGCGCCACCTACTGGGGCACAGAGGGATTGCCAGAGATGACACTGGCTGGGTACACATATTAATTTAGCATTAATCCATTAATCCCCCGCTATCGAAAGTGGACCCTAAACACTGTGTGTGTGTGTGCGTGCACATGTCCTCCCCCTTATAAAATGCTGCCTCTTCCCCCACCAACACACACAGCTGTTGGTTCATACGCAGTATAGTAAGCATTGCCCCGCTCTTCCTGTGCCAGCACTCCAGCCACCCAGCTAAGCTGACAGTCACACAGCAGAAGGTGCGGACGTGGCATAACCAGGTCAGACGGAGGATGGGAAGGTGTTCATCCCGGCCGCCGTGTCCATGGAGAGTGACACTGCCAGCCAGTCTGGTGACAGACCCCTTCTTTCATCCATTTAAAAGCAAATGGGAATGCCGTGCTCTCCGGGAGAGCATCCACACCGGACCGGAAGTACAGTGTGTGCGGACACATATCAGGCACCTTGAGAACTTCTCAAAGGGCGCTACAGTGGCACCACACCTCCAGAGAGGGGGGGAGTGATAGACTGACGGACAGACAGCTTTTTTTTAGGCAGACCCCTCACCGCTACCAGCCGAACTTAGTGTCATATTTAAAGCCAGCCCAACCACTGATCCCCAACACACCTCGTTGAAGACCGGGTACATCACAGCATACAATGTCATGGAAACCATCGAGGTCACATCAGCTTCATTCTTCATCTCTTCCATTGTCATCCTCGTCCAAAGGCCCGCTTTAGGTGAAAGGGTGCGAGGAGAAGGTGGGCCTGCACTTTGTTAGACAACGCCCTGCACAGAGGAGGAGCCCGCGCAGTCCCTGCAACATGAGGATGCAGAAAAGAGCAGCATTAAACAAAACACATTCAGATCAAACACTGACACAGAGAAGTAGGGGGGGAGGGGGAAGGTAGGGAGGCATACAAGACAATGATTAACAAACATTTATGTACAGGGTGTGCCTCACCAAGGTAACAAACATGTAAGAACTTAGCAGTATTTCACAAGAGATCGGGAGAACAAAACTCAGATCTCCAGGAAATAAAGATTTAATGCAGTGACATAAACTAAGGCTACAACATAAAAACGACAAATCAAGATGACAAGGTTAGAGCACTTTGTCGGGCACAGCCATAGCGAACTATGGTAAATCATCCCAAGACGACTTTGCTAGGCACCATCAGGTTTCTGCTCTCTCTCTCCCTCCCACTCACTCTCTCACTCTGTGTCTCGCCTAAACTATTTCCTGCTCGAATAAGAACAGAATGAGGAAGAGCAGCACACCCTGCGGCCCTGGGGAGGCCGGGGCTCCACACCCCTACCCAAGGGCCGCGTCATCGTTCCCGCTGCGACCGAAGGGCCGGGAAACGAGGCGCGATGACGTCAGGCACCCCCAGCGATACCGGTTCACCCTATCTTACCCAACATATTAAGTTGGCAACTAGCTAAGGGAATTAGCCGGGTGGCCAGAGTTCACCGAGCGGAGTGTATGCCCTCGGCTGTGAACATGGGTCGCGAAAATAAGGGACACTGAGCAACGGATTTCCCGATAAGACAAGACCAGCAGGTGTCGCAGTGGTTTAGGGACCTGGACACAGCCTGCAGGAATGGGTCTGTCACAGGAAAGCATTTGACCACACTTTCTGCAATACCTAGATGTAAAGATGGGTAAGATAGGTTTATTAGGATTTTGCATTCAGTTAAAACTCGAAAGACAAATGTCAGCGGATATGTAACATCATATCTATCCAGTGGTGAGAAACCCTGGATGATAAAAAGGACCGTTGTGAAAATGCGGCCGAGCTTCTGCAAGCGGAGCAGGTGCAGACTGCGGCGGAGATGAGAGCTCGGGAGACCGGCCGCCACCTACAGACAGATTAGCAGGAGACGACAAACTCGCCGTCAGTACCAGGCCGAAACCGGGCCTCCGGAGCCGTCCAGATCCGGTGGGCCGGACTGCCCTTTTACAAATTCAGTAATTCTGCACACACACCACCCCCGACGTCCATTTGTAGAAAAAGGACAGCTGGCGAAGTATAAATACACGAATAACTAGCATGCTAGGCTAGGCTAGGCTAGGTTCGGTTAGCTGCTGAACAGACCTGCTAACTTTGCTGAAACTGCCAACGGTGTAATCAGATTAAACGTCTAACTACCATTATATCAGGCAGAAACCGTAAGCGCGCCATACCTTCCCCCTTCTCCGTCCTCGGTGTAGGAGCGCAAACTTTTTATTTGTGCTTTATTGTTGCTTTTTTAATCCGAAAGACGGAAGTTTTCCTTTAGAGCAGGAACGTGAGAAGACAACGTCTACCGCGCACAATCCAATCGGTCGCCACCGCACTGGACTCCCAACTTCCGGGAATCTTTCAGCCCAAGCAGTTGTAGTCCTTTCGACAGGCAAGCGTTACTGACGCTCATAATCTTAGAAATACAATTACCAGAAACACTGCTTTTCAGCCCATCATTGGTGATTCGCAAGTTGATTGACGCGACGTTTACCCAATGATTTTCACACATTTGGGATCGTTTCAAAAACACAATTATCATTAGTTTTATTTATTCGCGTTGACTCACGTTTTTCTCTGACAGCCTTGGAACGGTTAAATTAATGAAGATGCAGCACAATAAATGTAATCAGACATCTTACAAGTTTCTTATGGGTACTGCTGTAATGGACCAATAGGGGTGCAGATAGGCAGGACCGCTAGTGAATTTAGCTGTATGTCGAACCTGCCGCCGCGTCGTAAAGGACAAGGAAACACACACGTTTGTACAGCATCAATCCCGGTACCAATAGGTAAGATTTTACGCTCTTATAAAATACGGTGGAAGCCAATTCGCTTAATGATGCACATACCGCGTCAATACAGTTTGACATGTGATTCCGATAATAATGTGAAGCTTTTTTAATTAAGCCTATCTAATATAGCAAAGTTCCTTTCTGTCGTCACTGCAGTGCCAGCTGTTGACAAATATATTTTCAGTTATCTGCCACGAGTAATGGTCTTCATTTGGTGCAGTTCTTTTGCTCCTGCACCTGCAGCAGATGTACTGCTTTGACAGAATTAATTACGCTTATTACAACACCCAGCTGATGTTTTTATTGGTAATACCATCTTCATGTTTGAATTAATGTAATTTATAATAAAGCGAATGCCCGGAATAAAGAGGTAACACTAAGTAATAAAAGTGTTATTCCTATTCGTAGGAAAATAGGCATTTCGCGTAGGATTAAAAGCCCGGTTTCTTGTGGTATAAATAGGTGTAATGAGTTAGTTTAATGAAAATTAGTGGAACGATCTGAACTTCTCCGGAGCAGCAGCTTCTCATGGCTGCGCAGGGCGGACTGCTCAAAACCTTTGCTAGATAAAATGCTTCATCCGCTATTTATTCTGTTCTGTTTGTATGTGATAAGCGGGCATCGGTTCATGTAATGGAGACAGTGATATTACAACGGTCAGAATTTTTATCGGCAATGTTTACTGAGCACGAAATAATGCGGTTTTTAAAATATCACACTGAATAACAGTTAAATTATGTATCTGCTTTTTATGTGAAGCCGTTTATGGGTGATAGTGTTTATGTCCCTTTGGTTACAGTCCTCTGTGTTTGTTTTGCTTTTTAATTAATGAATGTGTTCCGCTTTACTGCAGTGATTGCGCCTCCGTGATTAAATGCCTCTGGTTTTACCAGCCGTGTATCCAAGGAGACAGTCCCGTGTCAGATATAGGTCTCAATGGAAGAACTACCGCTGACTCCCTGCAACCGAGAGTGATGCTGCAGTGAATTCGGACCGCATATGTAAAATCCACAGAGGAGATTAGGTGTTATCAAGCAAACTCCGCAAAGTACTGATGCTTTTTCAAACACCCTGCAACATGTGCCAGACAAGGCAAGGAGCCCTTACTGGAGATAATGAGTTCTAAAATTCCTGTGCCTCTCCGTCAGGGTGGCTGGCATATTTGCTACCCTGTGTCCTCCTCTTCTGTACGACCGAATCCTTTTCCTGCTCTTAAGTCCGTTTCTCAAAGAGTTTCAGGGTCTATCAGTCAACTCGGCAGTTCTTAATGGAAGCGGATCCGGTTACTGGGGACAGTCGCTGGAGTCTTGCCCCATGGTGGTTGCTGTTTGGCAGCACCGCACCGTGTAGAGGAGCTAGGGTAACCTTGTAGGCCTGACTGCTGCTCTCCATGCTCCAGAGAGCCCTTGTTTTAAAAGCACTCTGCGCTCAGAGTACCTGAATGGGCCTTTTCTTCACGGGCCTGTTAACACAGATTAATAACCTGCTGGCCTTGTGGATTCCCCGGAACGTTCCGTGGGACTCCTCAAGGAGTTTGAATGACTTTCTTGTTTTAATTTACAAAGGGAGTGTGTGCCTTATTAATTATTGAATATATATTTTAATATTCATTGTGCTCACGGTATTCCTTGTGATTTCTCATTATTTGACCGCTTTACCTGCTTCAAAAGGGGGATGTTTTGGACGATTCTGAAGGTACTGGCAGTGTAGATGGCGTGACCCTGCCTGGGTTCGATTACCACGGCATCATCAGACACACGGCCGCCCCGTTGGACAGCCTCCGGTATCTCGAGGACGCAACTCTGAGGAAGAATTTGAGATTACCGAAACGTCTCGTTCCATTCTGTTTCTTGGGAAGCTGGCTGTTCTCACAGTGTGGCCTCTTCGTCTCTCTTTGCTCCCACATCCAGCAAAGGCAGGGGGGCACTAAGAGCAGGGCATTGTGGGCACTGTCCCCCCCGAATGCGCGCCGTTTTCCCGGAGGGTCCCTGGGGTGAGAGACGCCAAGGTGGTGACCTGCATGAGCAGATCTGCAAAGCTGGTTACTATTGATCGAAGCTCAATTACGTCCAAGGCCCACGGGGAGCATATGTCAGCCGCTGACCGTGTCCTTGCACGCCACACCCCAGTGTCTATCCTCCCGCGTCGATTTGGGGGGGTGTAGAGGGAGGCTTAATGCCTTGTTTTCCGACAGTGCCGGTGTGATGGCTATTCTCTGTGCCTTCAGCTTCCACCGACACTCACCGTGTGTCCGTCTGTCCGCCCGCCCCAACTCTCCTAGGTTCAAGAATCCTCTTGGTATCTTCCACAGTTCCATGTCGAACCAGCACCGTGTTTGTGTGGAGAGAGAGAGATGTGTGTGTGTGTGTGTGTGACCGCAGGGAGGCCGTAGCGGGAATGATGACATCACAGCGCCCACTGGAGGCTCTCACCATGATCCCGTACCATGGCAGGTTGTGAGTGTGTCTGTGATCGGTGCTGGATTTCACAACAAAATGGCTAAATCGAGGCGTGCCATGGCCGGGATGGGAGCCGGGTTCCGTGTTGCCTGGGGCTCCACGGCGCCGGTGCTGTCTAAGAGACGTGCATGTGATGTGGTCCTCTGGCCGCACCCCGGGGCACCGGTGTCTCCATCAGCTCCCCAACTTCTCTTTGAAACCATCTCCCTGGGGCTTCTCAGCTTGTCAGGGCAATCGTGGAGCTCTGAAGGACACCATGAGACTAGCCCAGGCCTTCCTCTCCTCTGCTGCTTGCGCCAAAGATCCGGTACCTGTTCTGACGACAGGGAGCCTGGAGCAGCAGAGAAATGCCGCTTATCTCCAGTCTGAGATGATCGCAGAGATGGGGGGGGCACGACAGATCCTCTGTGTGATGCAGGAGCCGAAATCTGAAGGAGAATGCAGAGCAGAAGCTCCGTCTAACAGATAAGGGCCGTATTTCCTGTATGACACCAGCAGAGTGTGTATGAGATCGCTCCGTTCCATTCATTTATTGATTGTGGAAATCTTGCCATAGAAACTGTGTGTGGATGTCAGCCACATGGGCACGCTTATGGGTTCCTTTCATGAAGACACAGCAGGGAGGGTAACCGCTACAGAACCGGCACTCGACGCTCACAGGGTTAGTTGGCAACAGGTATCGTGCTCTCTGTGTTTGACTCATAGAGCGGATTGGGTTCCACCTCTGAAATTAAATGTTTATTAGTCCGTGAGTGTGCTTCTTTGAGTGTGGAGCCCATCGTGTCGACAATGTTAAATCCAAGGGTTTGATCCGGGTCCTTAAAGTGCCCTAAATATCGTCGTCCTGCATAGTGAACTACCACTACCCCGCTGTGGGATTTACCATCTCTGGGAGGTCATCCCTCAATGGCCACCAGGCCGCCGCCGCTTTAATCCAGGGGGCTGCGGAAGAAATTCTGGGTGCGCTTTCAGTCGGCATGGCGACAGAGCAGGGAGAGACCTCCCAGATCCGGCTGTGCCCTACGTGTTTTAATCTGCCTGGTCTAGGAGATGCAGGTCTGCAGGCCCGTGCAGGTGGGAGGGTCTTCTCAGTGGTGCACCTCGCATGGCTTCCTGTTTCATGGTGTAAATCTGCTGTATGAGCTGCATTTGCACTGGAATCCCTGGAAGGCTCACAGGAGTCTGTCCTGCTGCCGCGTCCGGCGCTCCGCGAAGCAGCTGTGTGCAAAGAAGTTTTTCTTGTTCTTCAATCTCTCCACACTCTCGAAAGTATTTTAACGTGACACGCAAACCAAAGGGTGGGAACCGTGATGCGTGTCTACATTCCTGGTGTGCCTACCCGCCCCCCCCCCCCCCTCCTGGGCCGGAGGCTTGCCTTACATGACGCGGGGCGTGGATTCACATGTGTGCCCTGTGCAGAGGCTGGCAGGGTACCCAGTCATGGCACGCTACTGGGGAGCGATTCCCAGCCAGGCTATACCAAGGGATGATGGTATCCTACAGGTGGGGGCCCTTGCACTATAGCCCAGGTCTCCCATCAGGCACAGGGACCCCAGCAGAAATGCAGGCCTGGCAGACAAACTTGTGCTATTGATGACCCAGCGTGGGTGGGGCAGGTGCCACCTTATGACTCTTTTTGTACCCCCCACCCCATATTCTCTCCTTTCCTTTTGTCCCATTGTGGAACCTTGGCACAGATCTGTGATTTGTTTGTAAGAAGAGCTTGTTGCTAGGCAACACCACGGGCAGGGAGCACACGGCAGCGGGCCGAGGCGGAAAATGCAAAGTGTGGACGTGAGCGTGGGCTCATTCTCTCCCTTCCTCCCCGTCTCCCCATCAGCGTGATGCTCGCTCTCTGCATCCTGCCGCTGCTCCTCGCGCAGGTCCAGGCCCGGATGGGGGAGGAGCCCACAGCCGAGCTTTCGGTGCGGCTGTACCATCAGCTGCAGTCGGAAGGGACTCAGAACATCGTGTTCTCCCCCGTCAGCGTGGCCCTGGCCCTTGGCCTAGTGGAGCTGGGGGCCCGAGGCTCGTCCCTGAAGGAGATCCGGCAAGCTGTGGGCTACAGTCACCTCAAACCAGGTACAGCCCTTCTGTCCTCCTTCCTCTTTACCTGTTTATACTTGCACCTGTATAAGAAACAAAGTGTCCATCATGCTATTCTGAAATCGCCAGTCCACCTGTCAATCATGCCGGTGCCCCTCCCCCTGTCTCCTGACCCCTCCTCAGGTGAGGAGTTCTCCCTGCTGGAGAACATGACACAGCAGCTGACTTCGGACGACAGTCCATGCATTTTGCGGCTCGCCAACTCGCTGTTCCTCCAGACTGGGGTGCACTTCTACCCCGACTTCCTACAGCTTGCCCAGAAGTACTTTAAGGCAGAAACTGAGACCGTGGACTTCGGCGAGTCAGCCGTGGTGGCCCAGCACATCAACGATTGGGTGGAGAACCACACCGAGAGTGAGTCCCCAAAGGGCCCCACAGACCTACAGGGCATATATGCTGATCACAAGAATATTTGAATATTCTTAGTCTTCTGTTGAGAAATGTGGTTCATTCTCTGATTTATGAGTAAATGTATGGTTCCAGAATCACCTAGTTTTTTGCACTATCATTGTGGAATGGGAGAATCCTGGTGCCCAAAACAGGATATGGCCTAAAGTCCTGCCTGAAGGCAAATAACCTGCAGGTGACTTAGCACTGACCCGAGGACTCAATCTGGCTCTCCTCTGAAAGCTGCATCTCCATGAGGTTTGAGCTGTGAGTTGCAAAATTCTGGGAATTTTCCTGTTAATTTCCATGGAAAATTTCCAACTAAAATTCCCCAGTTTCCCTTCCCATAGAATGGAAAGTTTCTGGAAATGTTCCGCCCCTTTGCAACCCAAGCTGTGAAGTATCGGCAGCTGTCCGGCAGGTAAAGCATGCAGTGTCCCCCCGGCAGGTAAAATCCGAGACTTGCTCTCATCTGAAGACTTCAGCAGCCTGACCCGGCTTGCACTGGTCAACGCCGTGTACTTTCGAGGCAGCTGGAAGAACCAGTTCCGGCCTGAGAACACCAGGACCTTCTCGTTCAGCAAGGACGACGGGACCGATGTCCAGACCCTCATGATGTACCAGCAGGGCGACTTCTACTATGGTGGGTGATCAGGATGCATGTGGTACACACCCAAAGCAGGGAGTGTGTTGTCCAGGAGGGGCTATTAATAGTTGAAGCCTCGAGGGGGAGGGGGCAGGGTGGGTTGTGAAGGTTATTTCCTGCTGGCCTACAGAGCGCTGCTTGGGTAAATAGGAGGTTACATCTCAACTGGCAGCTTCCTTACCCACACTGCACTGCGGCACTTGTACCATTTCCTATTAATCTGCAGATGTTGTACAGTCCACTTAAATGAGTTTAATTAATTTTAAATAAATTTTATGAAATTAAACCATGCAAAGGATTATCCATGATCAATGGTGTAGGAGACGGTTACAGATTGGGGGGACACAACTAATAAACAGTGGTCTGTTTATTGGCTGGGATAAATGAAGCCAAATTAAATATTAGGGGGACACACCCCCTCCCCCCCTCCCCATCCCTGTCTATGACTCATAGTTGATGTATATCTGCCTGAAACATTGCAATTAGTGGTTTTCTCTCTTTGCTTCATCCATCTCTCTCTCTCTCCATCTCTGTCTGCACAGGCGAGTTCAGCGACGGCTCCACCGAGGCCGGGGGCGTGTACCAGGTCCTGGAGATGCCGTACGAGGGGGAAGACATGAGCATGATGATCGTCCTGCCCCGACAGGAAGTGCCGCTGGCCACGCTGGAGCCCATCATTCAGGCCCAGCTGCTTGACGACTGGGTGGCCAATGTCAAGAAGCAGAAGGTGGAGGTGTACCTGCCCAGGTGAGACCCTTCCCAAGGTGAGATCAGTACGCCTCTGATGGTCATGTTCATCTGTTCAGGGACCTGCAGCCGATGCATAGTTAGTCACCCAGGCCTGAGGGAACAGGGTACAAAAATAGGGGCCAGTAATGATAGGGAAGCATTAGGCTGAGATGGCAGAATTTGTGAGAATGCAGAGTCGCTTTTAGAATTAAGCATGTTTACACTAAATGCAAACTGCTTCCGGGCTGTTTGTACTGGATTTTGTTCAAAACGCAGCATGAAGGGAGGCCGGACAGCCACGCCGCTCCAATTAGTGCTTAATAATCTGTAACGTTTACATAGATTTCCTGCAGTTTATGGCAAACGGGATAAGCTAATGGAACATTTGCTCCCTGTCGCTTTAAAAACGTCAGGGCTGATTTCTGTATCCAATTCCATCGAAAAGGTTCAAAGTCGAGCAGAAGCTGGACCTGAGGGATACCCTGCAGCAGTTGGGCATCAGGAACATCTTCAGCAAGGATGCGGATCTGTCAGCCATGACAGGTGAGCCGCCCGGCCAGACCCGACCTGCCACGCCCGCGCGGTCTCTCCCCCCGCCACGCCCGCGCGGTCTCCCTCTGCCACGCCTGCGTGACTCTTGTGCTGACATCGGCATGCAGACATTTCAGGGGATTTCTGTTGTACTGCAAGGCAGCTTTGGTTTGTTACTGGGACTTTGGGATTGATGTCAGTCGGGGTGCCTTTTGTTACGGCCTTACGTACCACAGAATTTCTGGATGCATATATCAGTGTCGCTGTTGGGATCCAGCATTTTTGTTGTTCTTATTTTTTGCTGAGACTGGAAATGGAAATAAAACTGCAGTTAATGGCATAATGGCATGGGGGGGGGGGGTGGGCTGCTAAATTTGGATCCAAGGTCAACATTTGTGGATTCACGCAAGTTCAGTACCACACAGACGTTATCTTTGTATTTATGTGATAGTTCCAGTAATTTCCGTGATTCTGCGCTCTCCTCTATGCTTTCCCACTGGGCCCCAAGGCTTCCACACCTAGCACCCCCCCCCACCCCCCACCATTTCATGAATTATTTCTCACCAGTCCATTACTATGCGCTCTTTGAATCCCGCCCTCGATGTCCCTGTCTTGCAGACGGGAAGGACCTGTACATAAGCAAGGCAGTTCAGAAGGCCTACCTGGAGGTGACGGAGGAGGGGGCAGAGGGAGCGGCCTCCTCAGGTGACACCCCCCCCCCCAGGGAAATCCCTGAATAGCATCTCTTCTCTTGGCTGCTCTGTGGCTCTGCCTCTCTATCAGATTCATCAAGCTGCTGTTTGACTAATGGTTCCCCCTACTGGTTTTAGGAATGATTGCCCTGACTAGGACGTTGGTGCTGTGCCCTCAGGTCATGGCTGATCATCCCTTCTTCTTTTTCATCAGAAACCGGAGAACAGGTTGGTCAAAGCGCAGACCGCCCTAGTGCAGGGTCGACTCTAGCAGTACAGCCGTGTACTCCTGTTTGAAGTGTGTGTATGAACACGGATGGTTGATAGGAGAGGATTTGTTGTCAGGGGCCTCGGTCACTTTGCCCCCCCTGGTGGTATGACATGGTCGCTTTTCCACCGCACCAGGTACCGTACTTTTGATACTTCAAGAAACTACCAAAAGTACAGTACTTCAAGGTGTTGGTTTTCCACTGCTTTTTACCATCACTGCTTTTGCATGAGCACTGCATGCATTCTTTATAATCATTTTCATCCTTGTTGTCCACTCATTGACGGGTTTGTGAGGAATTTATGAACTGAATTTTGTTTTATAAATACCCCAATATTTATTACAACTAAGTCACTCCTCCTATATTTATAACAAAATCACATCCTTAGAACAATATTTTTATTTATTTTCTTACTTTGTTTATTGTTGTTCTCTGAGTTCACAACTGTTTCCAAGGCGATGTTTGTTTCAGCGGCAGGTTATTTGCATAACAAAGAAAGTGTTTCAACTCCCACCCCAAAGTACTGAAGTAGTAAAGAAGTACCCCAGCTAATTTGTAACTTTCGGTACTGGCACTCGACCAGAAGTCAATGGAAAAGCAGAAGTACCGAAAGTACAGTACTTGGTGCAGTGGAAAAGCGCCCTAAGAGGAAAAGAAACTTTTTTTTAACTGTTTAAACTGGATTGTTAAGGGCCTTCTGACCCAAGCTAACCACAGTCATGGTTATTAACCCTGATACTGATCCACAGACCAGCAGTTCTACCCAGTCTGAAGAATGGACTGCACAGAAAGGGGTAGCCTTTAGGCTACTGCTAAAGGCAAAAAGCACTGTGTTTTAAGATGATATTGTATTATTGCTTTAAAATGAATCTCTTCATTCCCCTCCCCTGTCACTCACCAATTCAAAAAACGTAGGCTAATGATAGGGTTGGCCCCTCTTATGCCCCCCCCCCCTTAAAAGTCCTTAAATTGCCCCTGATCCAGCTGCTTTTGGTTGAATCGGTCAGATGGACTGTGGTTCACGGTTTTGTCCGTCTTGCAGGATCTGTGCTCTTCATGGGAAGAGTGATGAAGCCCGAAGTCATTGAGCCCAACCAGCACGACTTTGAAGGGGTGTAACCCCCTGCAGTCCCACCATCATACGGCAAACATCTCAGTAGAGCCCCACCCCCCCACCTGCCAATCATCTGCCAAGTTTTTGTGGAAACACCCCAGGGACACAGCAACCAGCATAGTACTGGTGATCTGTAAAGAGCTTTCAAAATGTATAAAGCACTAATACACGTCTCCCCCACCCTCAAACTGCAGCCTCACTACAGCCCAGCACACTGGCTGCCAAAGGTGTGCATTTTACTCAAGGCTTCACTGCATGATTTGGTTGTACATTTTGAAATTGTGTTATGTATACGTAGATATTTATTGCTAATGTACGTGCTCTGTTCAGTATTTAAATCCTGGATTGCATCCTTGGTCATTTTCATTTCTCTTTTTTAACGCTATGGGTATTTGCTATAAAATACTGCTGAACTACTAACATGCCTTACGTGAGCTGATATGGACTAGGGGTGAGGTCTCCGATGAGGAAACGAGAAATCACCAGCTGTATCCTCTCTTTGGAAATAAATATGAATGTGTTCAAGTCCGCTCCGTTATTTCTTGCTAGGCACAGAAAATATCTGTAAAGCTGGACCCCCTCCACACTTATTATGGAGGTCTGTGTGTGAAATGTATTAATTTGGTTGCTTATCTGGCTCCCCCTGCCCGGAGCGACATCCATTTATACAGGTTAAATTGATTTTAAGCAATCGGGGTTAAGTACCTTACTAAAGGATTTAACAATTGGTTCGCAATTGACGTCTTTTGGGTAACTGTAGTTTCATTTAGTAACACTAAATGCATCAATAACAGAAGCTAAATATCTTTTGTATTGGACGCTCTGTCGATTATGAAACCAATATAGCCTACATATAATATATTGCTGCTTAAATATTTGTTTAGTGAATGATCACTATACATCCGATACTACCGGAGTTGTAAGCGCGGCACCTGTCTTGGGGGCGGTGCTTGCGACCGGACACCGAATTTGCCCCGCCCCGCCCCCACGACTCGAACACCCTGCTTCGGCCGGGGCGCCATGGGAAGCGGCGGCGCTGTGCCATCCAGCCTGCGGTGCGGGACCCGACCGGGACATGTCCGAGAGGTAGGTCCGGGATCTCTCCCTAAAGGCGAGGACACCGGCTGCGCTTTATCATGATTTTAATTTTAAACACGTCCCACGCTGTGTATAACCGCACGAATCCTTATCAGTACGCTTATCTTCAATACTGTTGATATCGTGTGACTTTCCGTATAAATTGAGTAACACCAGAATTTCTCTGTGCAATTCTCCGTGTGGGGTATCTTAACAAAAGTCCCATAATTATCGAGTTCAGCGAGCGATTCGGAGGTATCTAATGTCCTCGGCGTCCTTTATACCGTTATAGATTACACCTGCTCAGGTGTCCCGCTGTTATGGCTACGGCCCTAATCCGGGGTTCACCGTAACTCTAACCAGCCGAAACGGCATGGAGGCGCTCGGTAGCCTTTCCAGTCGGGTTCTGTGACCGCAGTCCGCTATTTTAGGGCGTTTCGCCTGCATTTAGTGCTTCTTCAGTGTGTGAAATATGGTTTGATGTGCGTGTTTATTATTATGTATAACACTTTGACAATACGTGGTAAATATGCTGATAAAGCCTATATAGCCTAAATAACCACATACGTTGAAGGATGTTTAACGGCACCGGTATGGTGACAGAATGGCCTTCCCCCTCCCCCAGGTCCTCAGGTGTGATAACCAACGGCAACAGTTTCCAGAAATCCAACACCTCTCAGTCCTCTGACCTCGGAGACTCGGACTCTCCCCTGGCCCGAATATCCAGGGAGAGGGTCTCTGCCGAACTGAGTCCAGATTCTGGCATCGTTGTCACACCCGTGAGTCCCCCAATCTACCCGCGTTTAGCCGCAGGGGGCGACAGATCACCCCTACGAAAATGCCACGTGCAAAACACACCCCAGCTGTTTCCTTTCTGGCTTAATCCGATTCACATTACAGATGAATCTGACGGCACTCCGGCATTATCCCAGTTTCTCTTTCCGTTTTCGTGTCTGAAAGCTTTTTCTGTTTCATGTCAGTTACCCTCCAGCAGATTCAAGTACCTCTCTTGGCACAAGTTAGATGAGAATGGCGTCCAAGGAAACCAGCTGATCTGCCCCAGGGTCAGAGAAGGTGAGGTTGCTGCCATTTCTCTAGCCTGCCCACGCAACACTTTCATTAAATAACATTGGCGATATACAGTAGTTTGGCATTGTTCATGTAATACTCAGGGCCGCCAGAGGAGGAGCTCTATCTGAGGGAACAGGAAGGTTTCCATGAGGATGTGAGGAGGAGGAGGAGGAGGGCAGGCGAGAAGGAGAGGTGGGAGGAGAGGCTGCAAGAGAATTGGGAGAATTGTGTGGTGAGAAACACATCTGTCCTCACTGTCCCCCCCCCCCCCAGCATGGCACCATGTCCTGCCTGTCACCTCCCAGTGTGTCACTGAAAACTGCCATTTGTATAGCAGGCCAAACAGTCCACAGTGTGCACTCCTGTCTCTGTAACTGGGTGTGTGTGGGAATCCACCCACCTCTCCCACCAGGAGCTGAACCTCTCCTTCCAGGACCTGGGTGATCCATATCAGTCAGAGAACTTCTTCCGGATCCTGCGCCGGCTGATCCGTGTTGAGAAGCTGCAGCTGGTGGATAATGCACTGAGGGACCTGAGTTCTATCCGACTGCCAAGGTACGTTTCTCAGAAGGACTCTAGCGAGAATAATCTGGAAGTTTAGTGAACTTGTGGGTTTTTTTCCTCATGGAAATTGAAGAATCCCATGTTTGTCATGTGACACATTTTTCAGGTGCAAAAGCCTAAACTTGCACAGGAACTACCTGACCTCAGTCCGGCAACTGCCAAAGATTCCACAGATCCAGCACCTGGTCCTGTCGGAAAATGGCATCGAGGCCCTGGGGGAGCTGGTCCTGCTGGGGACCACACCCTTGCACTCCCTGACGCTCTGTCGGAACCCCTGTGCCTTCCTGCAGGACTACCGAGCATGGTAAGCGGGGTCCACATTTTATATGAGGAGTTGAAATTAAATTAAGCTTTACTTGCCATTTGTACCAGTAGGAGGAAAAAGTACATTAGATCTTGCTCTCCTTTTTGAAAAAGTCACATCTAGAGGCAAGAGTGGAGCTTGGGGTCAGAGCACAGGGTCATCTGGCCAGTGCCTCTGAAGCAATTAGACTAAAATATTTCAGATTGTCCCTGCAGGTCAGTAAATCAACATTATATCAAGTGTCTTTTTTCTCAGTATGGTCAAACGCAACATGGATCTCAAAGCCTGGATCATCTTCAAAGCATCCGTCTTCGGTGTTGTAGGGAAGCTGTGGTTATGGTGGGTGGCGTTTCAGCTGCTTACTGGAGTCCACTAACGGTTTCCCCTAAAATCCATGTCCCTCCCGCTCCCACAGTGTGTTCTCCTGCCTGCCAAAACTCAAAGTGCTCGACGGGATCCCCAAACTGCCAGAAGACTCCAGTCCTCGCTGTCCGCCTGCTCCATCACGAACATGCACCATACTGTGAGCTGGGTCTGTATCAGCTGCTAGCCACCGGTGGTCCAGACCCTTCAGAGATGTGGCCTCAAAGAGAATCTCCTGATCTCCAGCCCTGCACAGTCGCGATTTCTGTCGTCTCCCAATCATGTAACATTAGAGATGCAGAATGCAGTTTAGCAGATGAAAACATCCGGATTTAGAAGCTTAGGCCCGGCGTGAAGATCGTGCTAGCTGTTCTGTGTAGGTAAATGCCACTGCTCATTAAAAACATCTTCCAAACGAACACTTGTGATCATTTCTCTGCTGCTGTTCTGTGGTGACATGACATGATTCCTGATCTCCCAGCAGCCAGATAAAATCAGTCACACGATACTGATACAATGTCATCGGGACAAAGCCACACTATACTCATGTAAACAAGGCATTTCAGCCTTTTCTCTCTCTCGCTCATACACACCCCCCAAGAGACTTTTCTCACTTCACTGTATTCAACACGTTTAAACACCATCTCAACCCAGAGAGACATTATGGCTCCAGTCACTAGCTTGACCCAAAATGCATTTGCAAAGCATGTTGAGCATTTTGTTTAAACGGTGTTTATATCATTTCCGCTCAAAAGTTGACCTGGTGACTGGAGACCGTGGCGATCATTGCTGGGCGAGCTTCACACCCCAATCCCGCACCCCCCCCCCCCCCCATCTTCACTTCCAGTTTTCATTTCATCATTGACAGGGACCCCCTCAGAAGACACTGCCTTTCCTCTTACCTGGATCTGCCAATAGAAGTGACAATAGCTAGGGAGTCATCCAATAATCTATTCAAATGAATGGGACACAAGGTCATCTCTACAGCTCAATGGGATCATTTAACATCTCCAGGAGTTCTGCAGTGATGCTGATTGACCAGGCAGAGATGTTACAGAACCACAGCACTTTAATCTGTATAGTTAAAGCACATATGCTATAGTAGTTTTTCTGCATTAAACAACCCACAGAGCATTAAACGAAACCCAACCTTATGTTCTTGCTCTTAAACTGAAACGAAAGCATGTGTTTAACCATCAGGGGCGCTGGAAGGCTTCCAGAAGCGGCGGAGGAGTGCTCCTCACACCTGCTGGCGTGCAGCGATCTGGCTCCGTGGCAGAACCCCCACTGCCCCTGCCCCATGGCTGCCCAGGGGCGCCCCCGCAGACACGAGTGAGCGATTACAGAGTCAGCGAGAGGTCGTACATCCACGTCGCCGTGCCTTTGTGAAGGGTTTCGTAACATCAAGCTACTTCCCCACTCCTTTAGGAGCACGTCAAGCCAGTAGCCATGGAAACATGAGCCCCCCCCCCCAACCTGCCAATGCGAATCACTTTCTTGCCTTATAAATACCACACATTCATTTTTGGAGCTATTTTTAATGTACGGCGATGAATGCGGGCGCTTAGAGCCGCAGGAACGAGTCCAGCTCAAGGCCGCTGCTGAAGGCCACGCAGATGCGCAGGATGTACACTCCAGCATTACTGCATGAGCAATGAATCTTCCGTGAGCTGCAGCACGCATTTTAAAGAAGATTCCCCATAAGATACGTACAAAATGATATTTATTTATCTATACATTTTACAGCAGAACGTGAGCGATTAAAGGAATCGATTGTTTAGCATCTCCGCCTTTTACAATCCTCTGTATAGTTATGGGGACATGAAAACAAAATGGCTGATAAAGGATTTGAGATTATATCTGAAATAAATAGCAGAAGGTTTCCCCGTTTTAAAAGGCGAGGGCCACATTTCTCCCTCATGTAACACAAAAAGTATAAAATACCTCCTGTAACTTTGAATTACTTAAAAAAAAAATAATAATAATCACACCCCTAGAGGCTAGCTGACACTTTTGATGTGAAAATGGACAGAAACAGTGTGTGAGGGTCCCCAGCAAAGGGGACCATCAGGCACCACGCAGGACAGCTAACCATGGGAGGGGCACAGACCAGAGAATCCATCGCCAGCCACCATCAGCACATTCACCATTACTACGGTACCTCTGCGGTCTGAATATTACTACATGCAGCACGGAGAAGGTGTAGGTTAATGATTAAAGGGGGGTGGGGGGGGGGGGGGGGCCCTTCCCCCAAAATGTACAGCAACCAACAGCTTATCACTCTGCCTCATTCCTCCACTGTGTCTTAACAGTCTTACAGCCACTAGAATGTGGATTTTTGTATTCCGCTGTCAGCAAAAGTGTACGATTACGGGCGTCCCCCACAGCGCCTGTACAAACGCGACACACGGGTGAGCGTCCGCGTGCCAGGCTGCCAGGCACCGCCAGCCACATTCAGTAGTTTAATCGTTGGGTTTGGGTACGTTTAGAAGTTTGGGGAGCGCTGCAGCCAATCAGGTCAAAGAAGTGGTTGCTTAGTAACCCTCCTTTTACACATATATATAGTGGAGGAGACATGATTGTCAGAAACGACACCTGAAGAATTAAATACATCATTAAATAGATCAATACAAACCTTCACATAGAAATCTTAAAAACATAAGCATCTTGGGTAATGCATCTACCTTACAGCCATCATCATCATTTGGAACATGGCGATTTGTTTCAGGCGGTGGCTGGTTTTAACTGGACCAGAAAGATCCAGCTGGTCACATGGAACCGCTTATTCCCAGGCCTTTGGAAAAACATGACCTCCATCATTACAGATTCCGAACCCAGACGGATGCAACCACGGACCAGTCAACCAGAATACAGGACACCTACTGTACTGGAAAGTTCTAGATAAACATCCCCCCCCCACTTTTAAAAAGGAAAAAATAACATTTTAAAAAAGAACCCTGAGGGAACGGCGATCTTCAGCGGAAGGCACTGTGTTCAGTCTCTCTGCGCTCCCGCCTCTCACATCTCAGCTCTACGATTGGTCCGCGAGTTCTTCGTCACTTCCTCTTCCGCCTCCCCGTCCTCCTCTTCGTAGTTCTCCTCCTCGTTGGCCGTCACGTCCTTCCTGAGCTCCTTGCCCACCTTCCCGGCATCACGCCTCGCATCATCCTGCGGCACGGGGCGACAGGGCACATCAGCACCGTGGCCAGGAATCACAGGAAAATATATTTACATTTTATTTGTTTAGTGGAAGCTTTTATCCAAACTGACGTAACATTTCTCAGTAGGGCCAGACAGTCCCTGGAGCAACTGGGCAAATGGTCATGTTCAGAGGCCCAATGGTAACATCACTGCACCAACACTGGGATTTGAACCAGCATCCTTCCCATCGCTGACACAGCGTCTTTTAAAAGCACTACCTATCTTGGTAAAACAGTAGGTCTTGCTCTCGCACTTCCTATCATTCGTACAGATGTGTGTGATGCGAAATGAAATGTGTCAAATGACAAATGATTTGCACACAGCAAGACCGACCCTGTAAGCAAACGCTGAGGAAGGGGCAGTAAGCGTTCATCTTGCCCCCCCATCACAGACGTTATATATACTTCTGCCTGTTAGTCACCTGCATCTCCTCATCACTGCAAATACCGGCTCTTTTTTCATGTTTTCAGCCAGTTACCCGCTGAGACTGCTAGATCACTAGAGGTGACGCGTCCGGGTGGATTATGGTCGACTCGGTGCCCGAACACGGTCTCCACCCCCTCGCTGCCGTGACCTTGGCTCTCACCGGGCCGCCAGCTGCACGCAGTGGGGGGAGGCGGTATTTTCACCCACGTGCTCGTAAACAAGGTCACGGGCGGCTTTTTGAGGACGTCAGCTTCAGACGTTATGGTGTCTTCAGAGCGAACGCGCGAGACGGATGCCAGCTCATCCAAGAACCGAGTCCGTTGATAAAGAGGCGGCCGCCATGACTTACTCAGATGCCTTTTAACAATGGATCTTCTCAAAGATCTTAATTCCTAAGTATGGGAGGAGCCGTCCTCCTCACGTGGCGCGAGAAGAGAAGAACCACCTGAGCAGGGCTCAGTGGACACGGCTGCCCCAGGAGGAGACCACGGATGCTGGTCAATGAGGTCAGGAGACACTACGCTGTCACTCTGGGACGTCTACATAACCCCACCATGTAAGTCAGCTTTATTGATGTGTCTTTCACATCTTTGATTACAATGTCTGTTGTGAAACTAGCTGTGTGTTACAGGGGGGGAGTGTTACAGCTGTTGAGCCTCTTGTAGTTCAAAAACAATTACGTTCAGGACGGGGGCAATCCACTTTTAAATGTAAATTTTGTAATTAATGGAGTGTTATTTTAAAAAAAAAAAAAGTCAAACGATGTACATTTCACAGAGTAGAGGAGGCATTTTCAAACAAGTAAAACCGTGGTCTAACAGAGAATGAGGTTCAGTAAAACAGGCTATGGTCACTGTTTTGACTGCGTAGCTGGGGGGAGCTTCCCTCTGCTGCAAACCTGGCAACCCAAACTCTGCAGTCCAGGCGGGCTGCCGTCATTACAAATGAACCAGACCACTCCCCCCAGCCTACCTGTCAGCCAAAAAGACATCAATTAAAACAAACCTCAAGTAAAATGAATTCCTTCTCTAAAGGATCAGTTACTTAAACAGGCCAGTGAACAAGCCTTGTAAACGGTGAAGGCATAATGAGATGGGCTCAGTCTAATGCGTTTGTGGAAATGTTACAAAGCGCAAACCTCATCCTTCACGGAACAGAACTGCACATTGACTCACGCCCTCTCCATTCTCCTCGTTGTAAGGGTCTTCTTCCTCCTCCCCTTCCTGTTTCTGATGTGCTGCAGCCACAGCCAAGTCCTCCTGGACCTAAAGGAGGATCAGGTCTTAGTCTGGGTTTGTATAATCACTCATCAATTCAGAGGTCATTACACAATCTCGGTGGTACTCGTTCTGGCATCTGTGCATGCGCACATGTGTCTGCTTGTGTGTGTGTGTGTGTGTGTGTGTGTGTGTGTGTGTG